GGGGGGCAGGGAGAAGCGGGAGGAGGGCAGTGGGAGACCACCACAGGCTCCATCTCTGCTGCATTCTGGGATCCTGAGGAGGCCAGGGGCCTGGGGGAGCGGGTATCCCCTGCGGTCTCACACCCACCTCAGCAAGGGGAGGTGGCGACACTGTCCACTGTCGCAGCACTGTGAGCAGGAGGATCAGCGAGAAGGTCTGGAGTGAGACCAGGAGCAGGGCCAGGTCTGGCTGCGCCTGCCCAGAACCACAGCCTGGGGAGTGGCTGGGGGCCGCCCAGGACTCCAGGAAGGCGCTGGGGGGCCAGGCTCCGGCTCCCACTCCGGGTGCTCCTTTTCCACGTGACAGCGGGCAGGGCTTCCTGGGGCCTCTAAGAAGATAAAAGAATAAGGTGACCAGACGTCCCAATTTTTAACCATTTTTCCTGAGTCCCGCGGTGTTTTAAAAAAAAGTCCTGATTTTTGGAAAGAATGCACGACAAGCTAGGGTATACGGTTTTCAGCTACCAAGTGGCAATTTCGCCAGGATATGAGTTGTATCAATGGTGTCCCGCTTTACCAATGTTAAAATCTGGTCACCTTAGTTTTACCACTCTACTCCCATGCCCGCCCGCAGTCCAAACTTCCCATCCTGCATCCTTCAGGAGCCCCGAAGCCCACCCCTGCCCACCCTCCCACCTCTGGGCCCACCCCAGCTCCGCCCCCTCTGGGCAGTAGTGCCCCAGCTCCGCCCACACCCTTCTACCGCGGCTCTGGGTTCCAGTGAGGCTCGGCGACCGCATGGCCTGCACAGCTCTGCGCCCTAAAGGTTACAATGCCCAGGAGGGCATTCTCTGAAGGGATGTTAGGTGGTGGCCGGAGTCATCAAGCCCACAGCTTTTCTCCAACTCGTAATCTACAGAGAGAAGGGGTGGGGTGGGGTCAGGTTGGGGTGCATTTCTGGCTGATGGACCACCTCCTCTGTGCTGGGGACACCCTTGCCTTGTGGCTCTAGCACAGCAGGCCCCGCCCCACGGTATCCATCCATCATCCACCCACCGATCCGCCATCCATCCTCTCTGCCCAAGCACTGCCTTTCTGGGCGCCTGTTCCGTGCAGGCCCCACCTGTACTGGCCAAGCAGGCTCTGCCCACAGCTGGATTTCTCTACTTAGAAGCCACCTCTCACAGGCGCCACACCTTTGTGGCTGGTGCCTGGTTTCATTCACAGGATCCTCTTTCAGCTCGTGCTCAGTCCTCTTACCCTTGTCTTGTCTGCTGCATGTCCACTGCCCCTGCCCCTAAATAGAAGTCATGTGCAGGACCCCTGTCAGTTCCCTACCACCGCTTGCTCACCTGGAGGTCAGCTTCTCACCTGGGCAGGCGGGTGGGCCAAAGAGCTGCAGGCAGCTGCTGCAGCACCGGTTGTTGGGGTTCCAGTACTCCAGGTCAGAACCGGGAGGCCTGCTTCGGCACTGCCTGGGCCAGCAGGAGCAGACCCAAGAGGAGGCAGGGAGGGCCCATGGGGTGGGGCCCTGCAGCCTGGGGGCTGTGACCACAGGACTTCCGGCCAACACACATAGCACTTTCCAAGAATCCGGATTGGAGGAAGGAAGTGATGTATGTGGGGGCCCTGGGACCCCCCGACACATTTCAAAGTGGGGAATCTGCCTCCCCACAACCCGACCCCCCCTACCTGCACTCAGCAATATTTCTCGGAGACCCATAGCACTGAGGGTGGCTCTGAGCGGTCATTTCCTCACCTGCCTACCCATAAAAGGGCAACAACAACTTCACTGGACTACGGAGCGTTACAACTGTCACTACAAGCACAGGCTCACCTAGTTAGGTATTCCTTCCCCTCTTCCCACTGCAGTGCACCGAGGAGAAGCCAACCCCAATCCTCAAAAAGACACCCCCTCTTCCCTGCTTCTCAACCACCTCACCGATCAGCCTCCATCTCCTAAGGGCTGAGTTCTTCAAGCAGCCTTCCACAGCAGGGCTGTGATGTCCAGTACAAAGGTGTTCCCACCCTGCCAGGCCCACTCAGGGCGCTTCTAGGGCCCCGGTACTTCCCCACCTGATGTGCACAGTTCCGCTACTGAGGTTCTGGCCGGAACCCAGCCCCACTTCCCCTTCTGCAGGAGATGAGGGAGTGCAGAAGAAACTCCAGCCCACAGGCTACCAAATGCAGACTTTATTAGGCCCCCAGCACCCAGCAGATTCCATCACAGTGTGCTGGAGCCCGGGGAAGTGAGGTTAGGGAGAGAAGGGCGCTTGGGGGGTCGGGGCCCAGTCCAACCAGGAACTCTGCCTGTGAAGGGTGGAGGGCAAGGTGGCCGGGGTTTCAAAAGCGGCCATGCCGGTGATCTGGGGAACGTCTTCGGTTTCTTTCTCGGGGGTGGTGGCCAGTGTGGGACCTTGGAGGTGACCTGGGAGTAGAAGAGAGAAGGGTGGAGTGGGCCTGCCTCTCTGCTCTGGGGAGTGTCTGAGTAGTCAGCCGGGGACGCAGGGCCTAATCTCATTGGACACTCAGACTGGTGGGGTGGTAAGGATTAAGGCAGGGCTGGATGTGCCTCAGAGTAGTCTTAGGGTCCAGAGGGCTTGGGACACTTTTCGTAGGCTAGCTTCTCAGGGTTGGCTGATGGCCAACAGCTGGCTTTGGGGTATGAGGTGTCTGGGCTCTGGTCTGGAGGTACCTGCGCCGAGGTCCCCGCCCATAGAGCTGTCGCCGGAGGTTGCGAGAGATGGGTCGCAGGTGCATAAAGTTGCAGAAGCCACCGCGGGTACACTCCCTGCGCAGAAGGAGGCTTTTTGACAGCTCCTGTCCCAGCACACACTTGGACACCTGGAAGCCCAGAGCCCATCTCACCCCCTTACCAACTTACCCCATCTCGTACTGTCGGCAGCATGACTCCCGGAAGTCGGTGACCGGCGATAACTCCGCATGAACAGCCTGCCCGTTGAACCAGCGGTTATTAAGCTCCGTCACTGCCCGCTCAGCATCCTCCTCCCGCCGGAACTGAGGGGACAAGGAGCCCGGGTTTGCAATTCAACTCAAAAATCTTTATGGGACTAGTTGGCCACACTGGACTTAGCAATACAGCTCAAGCAATGGGGTTTTGATGGTGGCCATCGAAAGGCCTTAGCTTCTGGGCTCTGATTTTCATTCGCAAGTTTAAGAACATTAAAACAAGGCCACAGAAGCCAAAATTTATTCCACTTGAGTTCAGAAGCCATCTCAACATGAGGTTTTAAACATGGACCACTAGTGACCAAAGACCAGACAACTGTGGGACATTAGATCCAAAGCATATATGAACAGAAGCAAATGGTGCTTTAAAAAGACAGGCAAGAACAGACCAAAGCGGACGTCAGAAGAGGCTCGGAAACTTCCTCTCGAACACAGAATAGCCAGAGGGAACAGAAGAGATGATAAAGTGAAAGAGCTGAACAGAGGATTTCAAAAGGCAGCTCAAGAGGACGAAGGAAAATGTAATAAAATGTGGGAAGCTTGGCATCAGACCAAAAGGGAAAAAGATGCTTGGCATCTCCTGCTGACAACTGAAGAAACAGTCACGCCTTGAGTTTCCCTATTGAAGGATTCTATGGGCAACACGTTGAATGAGGCAGGAAGCATCAAAAGGAAGTGGACGGGGCACACAGTCACTGTACCAAAAATAACTGGTCAACACTCAGCCATTTCACAGGGTAGCATATGGTGTGGGAATCAATGGTGCCGGGGTGGGGGTTGGGATGTGGCTGATACCAAGGGCTCAATAGAAAGTAAATGTCTAGAAAAGACTGATGCAACATCTGTACAAATATGCTTGATACAGTTGATGTATGGATTGTTATAAGAGCTGTAAGAACAACCCCCCCCCAATGATCTTTTAATAAAAAGAATCAATGGTCCCCCAAAAGCAGTCTACCCTGCCCTGAGCACATGGCTACACATAGCTCTCTGCCAGAACACAAGAACTTGATGGAATACCAACCGAGATGTTTTAATATAGGCGTGCGACACTAGAAACGCTCATTTATCGAAGCCAAGAACTTAGGAAGATAGCTCACTGACCAATCAACAGGAAGAGATACATACGAGTAGACATGCCCATTCCAAAGAAAGGCGATCCAACAGAATATAGAAAACCGCCTAAGGTTATTAAAACCACGTGCAAGAAAACGTCTGCTGAAGATCGTTCAGAAAGGTTGCAGCAGTGCATCGAGAGGGAGCTGCCAGAAATTCAAACAGGATTCCGAAGAGAACATCATGAGAGATGTTTAGCTACGTTGTATGGATGACACAGAGGCATTCAACGGTGTGGACCATAACAGGTTATGGACTACACGGCAGAGACTGGGAGTTCCAGAACACTTATACACAGAACAAGAGGGCAATGAGTGGTTTAAAATCAGGAAAGGTGTGCATGAGGCCTGTAACCTTTCACCCTATCTATATGCTGGGCAACTTGTCTGAGAGGCTGGACGCCACCAGGACTGGAGGAAGGCTCATGAACTACCTGTCACGCAGCTGACACAACCTTACTGCAAGGGAAAAAGAGTATTTAAGCATGGAGATCCAAGAGCACAGCCCACAACACAAAGAAATCAAGCACACAGAACAGCATCATCAGGATGGAGCGAAAAGGGAGCGGTCAAGGATGTCACTTCCCGTGGCTCCACAATCCAGGCTCGCTCGGGCAGCAGCCAAGAAATCAAGCGACAGTCATGGCCTGGGGCCAATCTGCTGCCGCAGACTTGCCCTCTTCACGTTCACAAGAAAAGATGTCACTTGCAGCACTCAGGTACGCCTGACCCAAGCCATCCTTTTTCCCAATTCCCTCACAAGCACGCAGAAGCCGGAGCGTGTCTAAGAAAGACTGAAGAAGAATTGACTCAGACGACAGGGTTGGTGAAGAGTACCAGAAGGAACACATCTGTCTCGGAAGCCAAATGTTCCTTAGACGCCAGATGGAAAGACTCCGCCGCCAGTACTTTGGACATGTTACCAGGCAGGACCCATTTCCGGAGGAGGAAGGCATGCTTGGTCAAGCAGAGGGGCAGCGAGAAAGAGGAAGACCCCGGATGAGCTGGACTGACACAGTGGCTGCAACAATGGGCTCAAACGTGGCAATGCGTGGCACAGGGCCCGGGCGGTATCTCTTTCTTTTTGTTGACTTGACTCCACGGTGCCGAACAACAACAATGGCGAGGGAGCAGGCACCTTGACATAGACGTTCCCCACAAGGTGGTCTCCCAGGTTGTCGCACACATTCATCTCTTCGATCGCCCCGTACTTCTCCTGCAGTTCTGTGAACACTTCCTGCGGACCATCGGGGGACAGGGGGTGGGAGCGGGGGGATACTGTTGAATTCCTAGCCCACAGGCCCCACCCCACCCGTCCCTTCCCACCCTCACCTCAAAGAAGTTGTCATAGTGTTCCTGCACTTCCACGTCGCTGACGTGACCTGGAAGGGGGGCAGAGAGGGGGTTCAGGGACATGGCCTGCTGGGGGCTGTGTGCCCTGCCCGCAAGCCCAGCCCCTGACTCACAGTGCGACCCATCTGCGGTTTGGGCCGTGTTCTGTGGGTTCCGGTACAGGTTGAGCAGCACTATGGTCTGAACGGAATTAAGAGGAGGGGGGAGTGAGCACACGGGCTGAGTTCATGCAAAGTCTTACAGCAGAGACTTGGGAGAAGGCCACTTGTGAGTGATACCTTCCACCAGAGGAGGAGCCCAAGTACAGTGAGAGTGAGTACGTGGGGCCCTAGGAACCATTAGGGGGAGGAGCTAGCATGATGGACAGCCCGGGGGTGTGGCTTGTACCAGAGGCGGAGCCCAAGCACAATGAGAGCGAGTCACGTGGGCCCCTAGGAACCCTTAGGGGGAGGAGCTAGCATGACGGACAGCCCGGGGGTGTGGCTTGTACCAGAGGCGGAGCCC